GGAGGGTCAGTAAAAAAGAAAGAAACCCCCAACAAGACGAATTGGCACAGTGGCAGCAGCAATGGGCTCAAGTGTAGCAGCAATTGTGAAGATGGCAAAGGACCGGGCAGTGTTTCATTCTCTTCTACATGGAGTCACTATGAGTTGGAACCAACTTGATGGCATGTAGCAACACAGCAACATTGGAATCCGAATGGTTAGTGGCACTGTAGGATAAGCACTGGACTGCTGACCACAAAATCAGCAGTTCAAACCTACCAACTGCTCCATGGGAGGAAGATGAGGCTTTCTGCTCTTGTAAAGATTTAAGCTTCTGAAACTTTATACAGGCTCGCTATGAGTCAGAATCGACTAGATGGCAGTGAGTAAGTTATTGGAGTCCTAAGGGAATCCTGCTGGCACTGTAGGATTATCACTGGACTACTAACTGCAAGGTTGGCAGTTCAAACCGACCAGTCTCTCCTCAGGAGAAAAATGAGGCTGTCTATTCCTGTAACAATGTACAGTCTCAGAAACTCCTTATAAGGCCATTACAAATCAGAATCCATTCTATGGCAGTGGGTTTGCTTATTGGAGTCTTAGATGTCCTGGTATGACACTGTAGCATACACACAGGACTCCTAACCACAAAGTTGGTGGTTCTAACTCAGCAGACCCTCCTCGGAAGCCCCATACAAGGTCAATATAAGCCAGAATTGACTTGACAGCACTTACTAAGGAGCCCTGGTGGCACAGTGGATTAAACCTTACCCTGCTAACAGCATGGTGGCTGTGGGAGAAAGATGAGGCTGTCTGCTCCTATCGGGGCATCTTGAGTAGGGATTGACTTGATGGCAGTGGGGTTTGGGTTTTTGCTTTTGTTCCTTTGGAGTTCCTGGGAGTTGTAAGCAATTAGTATACTTGGCTGCTAACTGAAAGATTGGAAGTTTGTGTCCACCCAGGGGTGCCGTGGGAGAAAGGCCTGATTGCTTCTGGAAAGTCAGCTATTGAAAATACTATGAAGCACAGTTCTACTCTTACACACGTGGGATCTTTATGAGCTGAAGCTGACTCAACAGCAACTGGTATTAATCAAATGGTATTAGTCAACTAAGAGCGTTGTATTATTGTATAGGGCTGTTGGCTTTGGTAAATTTCATGATAAACCTTGACTTACTCTCCAGCTTTCTAGGCAGTTCATTTGGATTAGTGTCATTCCTCTTAGCTTTGACTCTTTGTAGTTATTGGTTTTCTTTTTTAGCACTATTTTTAAACATGACCCATTTGTTGTTGTTGCTAAGTACCATCAGTTTGTTGTGACTCATAGTGACCTTGTACAGGTTTCCAAGGAGCAACTAGTAGGTTTGAACTGCTGACCGTGCAGTTAGCAGTCCAGTGCTTATCCTACAGTGCAACCAGGACTCCAAATGGTGCACTAATACATGATAAAATAATGGCTTCTCTATCATGATAATATAGCTCTGTGAACATTGCTTTTCTTTTGGAAATTTTGGTCTAATAAAAATGTAACCATATTTTAATATTCACCTAACTTGCCTCTAAAGTAAGAAGAATCTTAAAAAGAAAGTTACTTGACATCACAGAAACTATTAGAATTTAACCAGTCTGTCTCAAGGTGATTTGGTGGTGGTGGTGGTGGTGTGTTGTGGAGTCGGTTCTGACTCCCAGTAACCCTGCATAGTGTTTCCGAGGCTGTCAATCTTTATGGGAGAAGAAAGCCTCATTTTTCTCCCATGGAATGGCTGACCTTGAGGTTAGCAACCTGACTCATAATCACTATGCTACCAGAGATTCTTGAAGGTGATTTAAAGGAGGATAAGTTCCAGACAGAGTTCAGATAAATTTCAGTATGTGGTAACCATGATTGGATTAGGGTTTATGGGCAGGTGGGGATTAACTACACAAGTGTCTCTTGTCGGCTAAAATGTCTTTATTCTTACATTTACTAAATTTTTTGAAACTACTTCCTAGCACAATTAAATTGAAATAATTCAGTATTGAAATCTCTTGCTGCAAAAATAACAACAACAAAAAATTAAGAAGCAATGTGAACAAAGTTTGAAAAGTAATACAAACTGGGAAGGGAAGGGAGAAGGCAAAGTTTCAAATGACAAACAACTCAGTAATGTGGTCATTACGACTATTATTCATAATTAAAATAATGATGATCATCATAATAATAGTCCCTCCTATTTACACAATGATTTTTCTAGTTGGGACCTCAAAGTACCCAAATACATCACCATTTTTTTTTTTTTTTAACATAATTTGATACCTTAGGAAGGATTGTGAACTATTATCTCTTTTTGAAATAAAGAGAGAGAACTGAATCTGCTCATTGAAGACTATGCAATAAATAACTCAGAAGCCTGCTCATTAAATTGTTTATTCAAAATGTTTTTGACTGGATTCTTTTATTTTCCTTGTTCTATGCAATCTGTTTTGCTTCCTTCTGTAGCGTAGTGGTTACGAATCGGGCTGCGAACCTTAAGGTCAGCGGTTCGAAACTACCAGCTGCTCTGCGGGAGAAAGATGAGGCTTTCTACTCCTGTAAAGATTTACACCTCTTGGAAACCCTGTACTGGGTCGCTATGGGTCGGAACCGACTCGATGGCACTAAACAACAACAACAACAAAACCACCAAAGACTGAGTGTCACTGTAGTAGGTATAAGAGATGGGGGTCAGAGAAGGAGGAAATATCTTATGCACAACAGTGATGGGATTGCTGTGAAAACTCCCAGAGCTATTTTTATTTCCAACTTAAGTATCGCTTTTTGTCTTTCACTTAATTTAATAGTCATACGTATTTGTTCTGAAAAACAAACCACCATAAAACAAACTGCTGTGGTATTCTAGGATCGGCACTAGACTGCGAACCACAAAGTCAACTTTTCAAACCCACCATCCGCTCCTCGGAAACTCTACACAGAGTTGCTATGAGTTGGAACTGACTCGATGGCACTTAACAACAACAAAATTTATTTTAAAACAGAAGCCACCACAAAACAAACAAACAGAATGTAAAGTAAAATTTCTCTTTTATTCCTGCCTCTCATTCCTCACTGTTAATAATATGGCATATTTTTCAATGAAATATAGTTTCATAATTTTACTGTATGTCCCAAAACTGGGACAAAGAATACATATGATTTTTTTTCCCACTAAAATATATAATTGACATTTTTCATGTTAACACATATAGATTTATTAATCATTTTTAATGGTTAAATTATTTTACTTTTCTGTCTTGATTAAAAATTATAATAGAACAAATAGGACTTGGTCTTATATTTCACAATTTTACTTGGTGATTTTGAACCATTGACAATTTTGTCAGGTTTCTTATAATCATAAATTCATTTTTTTTTTATCGAACTTTTTTGAGATTAGTTGAGAAGTCCTCCCTTCCCTGCCATTTCCCCAAAAGTTTTGCTTACGTCTGCTAAACGCATCTCCTTTCTTCTGAAGCAGATGAGTAGTAATCATCTAGGAAGAATGAAATAGCATTCAGTTATTGGACTTTATGACCGCATTGCACATAAAAGGCAGACTCCTCATAGAGAAGTCCATTCATACTGAGCAACTGCAATTTGAGGAACAGTTGTTTGGAGTCCCACTCAAGGGAGGACTGTGCATGAAAGAGGTAGGGGAGAGGAAGAGGTTGTTGCTCTGGTTATGGCCCCATGGGAAAGTCAGAAGAGAAAGGGAGAAGACCAAGTAGAGTCCCAGGAGCCTTCCACTACCTCCCAGTGTCATCTAGAGGCAAAGTCATGTAGTGATGACGACATTGTTGATTTTGGTGACAGTGCTTCCTGTCCTGTTCCCAGGCAGGGTCAGGATGGGGTAATAGTATGGAAGGGACTAATATGATTGTGTCATCTCTTCCTAGTCCTACATCAATAAGAAATAGAATTTCTTTGATTTATGTAAGCAAAAGAAAATATTGACTGTATTTTGCTTTGCAGTTTGCAAAAGTTTTCACATTTGTGATCTTATTCTGCGTCTCACAAAAATTTAGACTGTGTGAGTATCCTGCATCTAATTGACAGAAGAATTTAGTTCAAAGTTTAAATGATTTGCCTAATTTGCAGAGCTGGTAAGGAAAGAGCTGGAATAAGAATTCTACTTATAGTGATTGAGCACCCAGAGCTTCCTCTAAGATAGCAGCACATTCCCACCACTCCACATCGTCCAGACCCATAGAGCTCTAGGAACAGGATGTGCACACCACAAATTCTATTCATGTGATAATTAACCCTATAACTAGAAAATAAAAGGAGCTCTGCTAATGTAGTGATTATGAATTGGGCTGCTAACTGCAAGGTCAGCAGTTCGAAATTACCAGCTGTTCTGTGGGAGAAAGATGAGGCTTTCTGCTCCCATAAAGATTTACAGCCTCAGAAATCCTGTACAGGGTCGCTATGAGTCAGAACCGACTCCATGGCACATAACCACCAACAACCACCCAAGTGCCTTAGCCAACTCTGACTCACTATTTCATTTTCTTTAACTTTTGAACTGAACTTAGCAACTACTACATCCCAAGGGAATAATGACTTTATTAGTCAAACAACAACTAGGTTGACCAACATATTTTAGTGACAGGTTTTGGAGGCAAAGCATTTGAAAGAAGTTGAGGAAATTTCACACAGAAAGGATTTCCTGTAGCATCCCAAAAGCTCAGGAATAAGTATTAGTTGTAAGGGAGCTTCTTTAGGAGGGAGTCTCAGGTTAGCTTTCAGATATATTCTTAAGGTTTGGCTTGGAAATAAATGAAAGAATTAGAAAGAGAATAGAATTCCGTCTGGAATCCTCGACTGATTTAGATTCCAGAGTGCTAGAAGCAGTGCTATAAACCTCCTTGTAGTTTCTGTATCACCTGCCTTAGTATCTTGTACATGTTTTTAGCTGCCATCAAGTGAACGCAGACTCATAGTAACCTTCTGTACAATAGAATGAAATGGAGCCTGGCCCTGCATCATTCTCACAATTTCTAGTATGTTCAGGCCCATCATCATTGCTATTGCGACTGTCCATTTCACTGAAATTCCCCTCACCTTTGCTGGACCTCCACTTCTCTACTCACGGTGCCCTGGTGTGGTGCTGTAGGTAAGCAGTGGATGGCAAAGTCAGTTTGAACCGCAAGGTTGGCAGTTCAAACTCACCAACCATCCCTTGGAAACCCTATATAGGGTCGTAGGCATCAGAACTGACTTGAAGGCACTTAACAACAGTGATGTGTACAAAGCAAGTAAGTAGGACAATGTTCTGTTGTGAGTCATAATGTTTCCTTCAGCTACTTTTTGGAAGTACATCACCAGGTTTTTCTTTTTAGCCTGTCTTAGTCTGGAAACTCTGCTGAAAGCTGGCCATAATCCCTGTTGGTATTTGAAAAAACGGGTGGCATAGTTTCCAACATCACATGCAAAATGCAAGTCATCACAGTATACCAAACAGGCAGATAGGTATAAGATCTTGTACTCAGCGGCTAAATAAATAATGTTGCTGTTGTTAAGTGCCGTTGAGTCGGTTACGAACCATAGCGACCTTGTATAGGGTTTCCGAGGAGTGGCTAGTGGGCTTGAACTGCTGTTGAACATTGCTGTTCAAACGACTTTACAGTCCAGTGCATTAACCCACAGTGCCACGCCAGGACTCTAAATAAATAATTGTTGTTGTTATGTGCCGTGGAGTCAGTTCCGATTCATAGCGACCTTGTACAGGGTTTCCGAGGCTGTAAATCTTTACAGGAGCAGAAAGCCTCATCTTTCTCCCTTGGAGCAGTTGGTAGTTTCGAACTTCTGACCTTGCCGTTCGCAGCCCGATTTGTAACCACTACGCTACCAGAGCTCCTTAAATAAACAATGCTGCTGCTGCTGCTGCTACATGCTGTGGAGTCGGAACCGACCCATAGCGACCCTGTACAGCTTTTCCGAGGCTGTAAATCTTTACCGGAGCAGAACGCCTCATCTTTATCCTGCTGAACCGCTGGTAGTTTCGCACTGCTAACAATGGCCCTTATATTGCTGTTGTTTTTAAGTGTCACCAAGTCAGTTTCAACTCATAGTGGCCTTGTATAGGGTTTCCAAGTAGTTGCTGGTGAGTTTGAGCCACCAACCTTGCCGTTCAAACTGACCTTGCAATCCAGTGCTTATCCTAGAGAACTACACCAGGACACCTTATACAGCATTTCTATATGCAAGGCACTGTTATAAGCACTTTGTATACAGTATTTCACTATAATCTGAACAATTCTGCAGGATAGATGCTATTACTACCATCCTTGTTTTCTGGATGGGACTCAGATGCTAAATTACTTCCTTAAGGCAAGGAGCTGTGCAATAGACTTTGGGCTACTAAATGCAAGGTTGGCAGTTTTATACCACCAGCCATTGTGTGCGAGACAGGTGAGGCCATCTGCTTCCATTAAGATTTAGCATCAGAAACCCTGTATAGGGTCACTAAGACTAAGAGTAGATTTAGGGGCCATGGATTTGTTTTTTTGGTTTGTAAGGTCAAGTACCTGAGTTAGGATTGGTTTAGGAAACCTGGAGACAGGATTGTGTTATAAACCATGACATTACATTACTGTTTAACTGAATGTCCTTTATTCCTCAGAAAAATCTACTTTGTTTAAGGAGTGGATATGGTGTGTATCTAACCCATGTATTTGTTTTCTTTCTCAGGCCAGCTGTGGTGAGGGCTAGGAAAAGAGTTTGCTTGGAGCCCTGGGTTATTGGCCTTATCACCTTTATATCCTTGATTGTCCTGGCAGTGTGCATTGGACTTATTGTTCATTATGTGAGATACAGTAAGTATGAGCTGCCCTGACATCTTATGACTCACATAAGTATTTCCTTACTTGTCTTCCCTTTTTTTTTTTTTTTTTTTTTGCCTCTTGTTTGTTTATTAATTCATTACTACAATTTATTTGCATAACTGGCAAAAAGAACTATTTTCTTGCATTGCCTCTCATTGAATTCTCAAGGTCAAGAGGATTCTGGCTTCTAGCTTTGATGCAGCCATGCTTCCTGCTGGGAACAGCACGCTAGTTTGCATATTACTTAATAAGCAATAATCATATCTTAAAGAGGGGGAACAGTGGCGAAGCATAAGAAATATGATTAATACTCACAATTGATTTATTGATGATGGTGGTGGTTGTGTGCCATCAAGTTGGTTCTG